TAAAAAAGATTTTTTTTTTTTAAGTAAATTTAGGTACCTTATAATCGATAGATCGTGCACATCCATCTTCCATTTTTGTGTAAAACCTAATGTATCATTGCATAAAATAATAAACTTCACGGTCTATCTGTGCACTCTTTGTCTTGTACTTCTCACTTATTACTACCCTCGTTTAAACCATATCACACGTAGATCACTATTGATTTTAATTCTGTAGTCCAATGGTTAGTGAATATGAAACTAAATGAGGATAGTATATATTGGTACGTAAACTATGGGTATGTAAAATAACGTGTTCAAAAATTAAATATATTTGATATAGTTTAATTTTGACTAACAATATATGCTCAGTTGACAATAACCGAAGCTTCATTTATTTTGTATTTGTTAATTTTTTTACATATAATTCTTAACAGGACATAAACTTCCATTTTTTATATTAATTGTTTTACTTTATGCATGGTATGAATATTTTAGAAATGGTTGTATGTTAAAACTGATATTTGTTCGTTTTTTCAATTTTCAGTTATTCCAGACAAAACTTACTCTCTGGGAATGCAAAAACTGTGACTGATGCTATGACAGGAGCAGTTGGAAATTCATCATCCACTGGAAATACTATGTCAAGTGTGAATACATCTCTTCTGTATGCAATTTACATAAATTATTTCATTGGAGTATCTAGAATTGATTTCATGTTTTATACATGATGCATTTTAATTAAAGGAAGGACAAACGCAATAGGGATCAAGGAGCTGATAATTTACCTTTGCCCTCATTAAGTGTTGCAGAAGCACAATATTCATTAAACTTACAACTGCCGTCTAACTTGCAACAACAAGAGAGAGAAAACACTGTAACACATAGTAATATTTTAACAAATGAAGTATCACAACAACAAGTTGATAACTTTTGGGAAGAAGCACATTCATCATTTCGTTTACCACCTGTCATAAATGATGAACATCCACTTCAAAATATAAGGTATGATTCTATTTAGAATGTATTTTAGTAGTTTTCTGTTTAAAACATATTCAAATATATTTATTTTTACATGTTGTATCTAGTTCAGAAATGAAGGAAATCCTAAGTTTATTAATTTCGGTAAATAAAAAACAACCGGATTATTTGGTCACTGTATTAAGGGAAATTAAAAACATAAGCGAAGATCATAGATTGCGACCTCGTTTACTGAGATCACTACGCGCTCTGCAGGATATGCAACCCCTGAGCAATCCACTGGTTTATATATTTTCTTAGATCAGTCTATAAATTTATTAAATATTGTTAATGTGTAATACACATTCATATTTTTTTTAGAATGAAACTACTGATCAAACTGCTAGTGAAAGTTGTCAATCCAGTGATGAAGATTCTGAAATAGATGCAGTATTGGATGCTGCACAATTAATTGTAACATCTCAAGCAGGAAGCTCAATGTCTCCTACTGCACATGTACCACTGTTAGATAACATGGATATGCCTGTAAGTTTTACTATTACAAACGTGTTATGTACTTAAAAGTGGATTTCATTTTATACTTTATGCACTGTCTATAGGGAACATCTTCAACTGATTCTGCATGTGCTTTGCCTATTACATCTACTATTAAACCTGGTTATAATGAAGACTTGGCAGAAGCAGATCAATCAAGACCTGAATCATCTGGCAATAAACAGGTATATCAAGTAGAAGTTAAGTGTGTAATACACACTTAAGTAAAATATCTTTCTTTTTTAGTCTTGTATGAATGAAGAAGACGATGATCAAGGCCAGGAGGAGGCAATTGGACCATTAGCTTTTGCTCAAACAACATTTGATGATGAAATCAACATAGATTAACTTAATTCTGTTTTTATGTCAAATAGACTTCTAAGATTTTAGTTTTTAAGTATTACGTTTTTACTTACTTTAATACTTCTTAAAGTTTCAATATCATTCAGTTATCTTCCTAGAATAAAAATTGTATCAGGAAACATTTGTAACAATAACATACATTATTCAGATTGTAATAAACATTGTAATTTTTATGAAAAGTAAATATTTATTTTTAACTTTATGGTACAGCGTAATGACATACTTATGAATAATGAATATACAACTTTTGATAGGAATAGAAAAAATATAAACATTGAAAATGATTGTCAGGTATCCTATTTAAAATTCTGTTTCTGCACAATCATTATCAAGCATTTGTAGTCGTTGAAGATGATATATGGAGCACCCATGTGTTTCAAATAAAATTGTTTCATATTCAGCATTGCTTTCAAGTGATTTAAACTCATCGCATGACAACAAATGTTTACGATCTGTATTATTTAAGAGATTGTGGTTACCTGCTGCCAAACAGCAGCCCTTGTTTTTCACAATGACTTCCTCCATGTTTTCATCAGTGACTGCGTTTATATGCAATAGTTTCGACTTATTAGACACCTCGGCCAATCCATAGTCCTGCGTATTTCTTCTACCATGGTGTGTGTGGTCGTTACCACCGCCTCTGAAAGGAAACCCGCAGACTTATCGACTAATTTAGTTGGATATATCCTATGTCATCCATTTTGTCAGCAAATTATGTCCTTACCATCAAAAAAAGACCAAACTTACTAAGTGTCATTAGTTTATGAAAAAATATTAGCACCTGTGCTTTCCATTGCATACCATTAGCCATGGTACAGATGACAGGATGCATTAAGCTTCAAAATAAATTTAATGCCAGGATCGATGAAAATCTCTGTGGTCACACGTAAATACACAACCATATCCCCGTAGGGATGAAAATCGAATATCCATACATTTGAAATATCAATTCATTAAGTAATTATTACATCGAAACGATTAAAAAACATAATAACGATTTCATCGTTCATACAAAATTAATCGAGACTACTCTACTTATTAGATTTTCTCTCTCTAATCTATAATATTATTTTACGAACTCCATTTTCCCGCTCAAATATAACACAGAAGAATACGCAACGACCTCTAACAAGATTTACCCGAATCACGTACGAATATGAATTGATGAGGTCGAAGTTTTGTGCATACGGTCACACAAATAGAAAATGCAAATACTCTCAACTCTCGTTCGAACGAAGGAATACGTAATAATGAAATTATAAATTCTCTCCTACCTTCGCGGAATTTTTTCGGATCGCTGGCGGGGCAGTGATCACCGTTGCTTCGCTTCCGGTTTCTCCGTCGAAGCGTATCCGCGTAGTCGTGGGCCGCCTGTTGTTGACACTGCTGCTGCTGTTGATCGCTAGCTTTCAATCGACTATGCGCTGACGCTTCTACAACCACGGAATCGTTATTCAAATAGCGAGATGCCATAGAATAATCGCATCCGTCCTCGTCAATTTCCATAGCTGTATCATAAGTACAACGATTGTGTACCGGTGTCCCACTGACTTCCTCGTGTTCTAATACGGGATTCAGTTGATTCTCTTTTCTAAAAGTCGGCACGTAACCATAATACGTGTTTGACGACATGAACGATGGAACGACTGCCCTCGCGTTATACATAGCACCACTAGCTACCGCCATATTTAACCTTTTACGTATAAAACCGATTTTTCCTACTACCCCGAAACGTTAAAAACTCCGTTCCTATCTATCTGTTGATCTCACACGTATCACGGACTGATAAAAAAGAAATAAACAGAAAGCACCATAAAACGAACACGACGTTGACACTATCCCAGAGGAACGGCGAATGTAGTTCGGGTTGGAAGCCGAGTATGCTCGAGCACCGGATCGGCAACGTTCGGCCGTACTCGCTCGATTTGGTCCATTTCTTCAAATCCCCACCAACTACCTCTTCCAACAATCGACCCACACATGGGAATTTGTTGTACTTATGTTACTATCTGACTCAACATTCGAAAATATTTTCAGAGAATGATTCTACTTTGAACATGATTTTGAAATTGCTGAAATGGCATTGAGATTTCCATGTGCAGCGGACGGCCGCTGACGACGCCGGCTTCCTATTGGCTAACGCCATTGCATAACGGACAGTATTGTAACCACTTTATTCGCAGAAATTAAATATATCTTCGTGCACGCGTGTTACTGAAATAACAAATCTTATCTCGATATTTCAGAAAAAGAAAACGATTCGTCGAAGATCCTTGCGTGTTGCCGATTTATTTTAAGAGACACGTGGTTCCTCGAACTTTTCCAAAAGAGCGCAGTTCGAACGAATCGCATTTACACGAGGAGAAACATAAGGAGAGGACTTCACCCACTTGGCACACTTCTCAATTATACAGCGGTTGGTGAAACGGTCGATTACCTCACCTGTTTATACTGTGCATTAAACAGTTTTCGTTTCAAAATTACAGTGACGTTGGGAAACGTCATGATTGAAACGTTATGTCATGAATCGTACGTTCTATACAAATATTAAATTTGTATTTTACAGAAACATTGAAACTAGTCCGCGTTTAATGTACTCTAAATATAGGTAATCTATGATTTACATTCGTAACCTATGAGTTACATAGTAATTTATGATTCATGCATTTATGGATAAATATAAAATGATTTTCAGTTCCACGGAAACCGGATTTCGAAGCTGCGCTGCGCATAGGTAGGAATTGTCTTAACTCTCCACTTATCATTACTAACAAATTAATACGACGGTAACACAGTGGTAATAGTAATGAAGAAAAACCTAAATTCTAGCGTTTATAGCACAAGAAATGAAGTAGCTTTACATTTAGTATTTTAGATTTAGAAAAGCCTGAGTTACCAGGTTAAAAAACATGCTTTTAGACTGTTAAGATCTTAACAGTGTATTCAACGTTATTAATAAACATAAATTATGTTAATTGTTAGTAAAAATAAAATATACTTTGTAGAGTTATAAAGTATAAGCACGGACGAAGTATAAGAGATATTGCAAGCTTATGGGACTCGGTGTCACATGTTCTGAATTACCGACTGTAAAAAGTCAAAGGTGTTGCTCTGCCCTCTACGTGTAGGGAACGGTCAATAGGAAAACTACATCAAGTAAAATGATCAAAATTGACCAGGTAGTAAATATGGTAAATCAGTATACAAACGTATTCGTTACAATGTTACCATATCTTCAATCTTCCAACGCGTGAAACTATTTGCTGTAAGTATGTACATGGTTCAAGTTGAGTTGGGGATCACTGGTCAGCACCGGTTAGTACTGGTCAGCATGGATCTGCATTGACCTCAACTGGTCGGTAGTGGTCATTAGTGGTCACTAGTGGCCAGAAGTGTAGGAGTAGGTCACTGATGGCCAGAGAGGTCCAAGAAGGACCAGGAAGGTCCAAGAAGAACTAGGAAGAACCTGGAAGAATCTGGAAGAAGGTTCAAGAAGAACCAGAAAGATCCAAGAAGAACTAGGAAGAACCTGGAAGAATCTGGAAGAAGGTTCAGGAAGGTTCAAGAAGAACTAGGAAGAATCTGGAAGAAGGTTCAGGAAGAACCTGGAACGTCCAAAAAGAACTAGGAAGGACCTGGAAGAACCTGGAAAAAGGTTCAGGAAGAACCAAGAAGGACCAGAAAGGTCTAGGAAGATCCAGAAAGATCCAGAAAGATCCAGGAAGGACCAGGAAGGTTCAGGCGATCAAGAAAGTGGCTACTAGTACACAACGGAGGACTCTGGTCCCACAGTTCAAGAGCTCACGACAAACTGAACTCTATACTGTCGAGGCTGTCCCATTTATAGATAAGGTCGCCGATGTTAGCCGCGATATCCTTGACCTCAGCATCGAAAGCAACACCTCGTTTAACCGTCTGCACTCGATATTGTAGGAACCTTGTGTTCGTGATGATAAGGTAACGCCCGCGAGCGTAAAGATCACAACGATTACTCACTAACGGGAATATATGAAATACACATTGCATATTTTATTTAATCATAACAGGCCATTGTTTACCAATATCCTTATTCAATTTATAACTTTAATCCGCTTTTAATGATAAGTTTGAATGTGTTTGAATTTCTTTCAGTTGTTGTTCTAAGCTATTGCATTATTTTACTATTAAAACGTCACGTCGCGACGTTCAATTGAATGAAAAAAGAATTTTTGATATCGGTAACATTATACTGATTGTTATTATTAATTTCTATATTCTTGATTCTCATTCCTATCACTTACAGCGCTGCTATGCAAAACTAGCCTTAGTCGATAGGACAGAGCGTGACATGAAAATGGTAAGGGGGTATTAGTACCCCCGACAGTGACAAAATTTAATGTCTACCCTATATATACCTTATCTGTGAACGTGACAAGGCAGTAGATATAATACATATATTGCGTCAAATTTTTTAAAATTTTAACGAATCAGGAAATCCAAGAATCCACGTGGAAAAATGTATTAAAATATTGAACACAAAATGGCGATGATACAAAGGACATTATTAAAATACAGGTTGTACAAAGATATTTCTAGTAAATAATTCTCGTGTTACTATCACATCAAAACGTAAGCGCTAGGCGTCTCTTCCATTCGAATTCGATTTTGTTCGAAGTACATTGAACTTCGACAAAACGTGATTTTCGAGCAAATCCTTGTCGAAGATGAAACGGGCCAGCGCCTGATCGCCTATTCCAGATAAAACCGCCACGAATCTTCCCATTTCGTTCACGCTTTTCATTTGATCCTCCATGAAGCCGGTGACAATAAAGTCACTAGCGTTCAAGTCGCCATGTTTTTCCGCCACGGTGTTCACCGCCACGAGTTTCTCGCTTACCTCGATTTCCAACTCTAGAGCTGTCTGCGCAAATAAAATCACGTTCCTTTTATTCAATATTTAAATGCTTTAACACCTCAATATTTTCTATAACTTTGTACGAAATGTAAAAATAAAGTACCGATCATAGCGGTTAACACTAGAACCTGCGTCAAAAATGACCCATTTCACTTTCGCAATTATGGAAAGGGCACAGACGATTCTCTGAGAAATTATCCGATGAATTGATTTAGATCAATACAAACTAGAATATAAGGAAATTGAACAAAATGTTTTATGGTAGTATATTTTATTCGGTAGTTCTAGTGTTAACACGTTCGCTACCACTGTCACATTTGTGACGTTCACAAACCTATATTTTCTATAAAGAAAATAATGACTCGTTCCAGCTTCATTTGTTTCAATAGTTTGTTTAGATTTATTGAATTGAAAATATTATAATTAAGAGGATCGCCGCTGAAGCAAACGCTGGTAGCGAACGTGTCGAGAAGCTTGCATTGTCTTTGCTACGATAAACATTGTTTACTTTGAAAGCATTCAACGGGCATTTCCAATCTTGGTCGGCGGGATGTTCCACGTTACACAAATTAACGCAACCACCGCGCATTTTTACGTAATTCACAAATCGGAGAGCGTGCTCGTGTTCCTCGTGGTGCATCTGCATGAAGAACGATTCGCAACCGGGCAATGCGACATCGGCGCGTCCGAAATATGCAGCCTGGAGAAGGCAAATAAATTTGGAAACGTTTATTTCACTTTCCTCTACTTTCCGTCGGTGATTTCATTTAAAAATACATCGAAAATATGCGTTAAACAGTCGACTTCGTAGTTCTAAAAAATATCCGTTCTATATTTACAAGACGATCTATTTTTACTAGAATCATTAACTTCTAGATTGTACCAATTACGCAACACTCGGTAGCATATTAATAATAAGGACGAATTGAAAAGCACATGACAAAATTATTAACTACATTCATTATCATTTATTATAATATGTGATTATACCACGAAAAAACTTATAAGTAAAATACAATAATATATCTCTATATTGACATAAATACTCTCAAACAATAAAATGGTTGTAAAAATATTCATACTATTTCCAGTCTTTACTGATAGTATTTTTATATAAAATCTAATTTTAAAGTTTCTATGAATTTTTGTTCTTTTAAAGAACTACATTCTTGCAGAATAGTTTAATGTAAATCATTTTAACTCTCCATGTAAGGAAATAAATGCGACTGTAATATTAAACCGTTCGGTTCGCACGGGTATTGCTATTTTTATGGGCAGTAGTAAAATGCGGAGTATATAGATAGCACGGCAACTATATATGTATTCGATTTTCCAATCTTACCATAGAAAGATAATAATAAAACGCTTTCAGCTCTGCGTTTATTTGCGCGTTCAGTATGGCCTCGGTTTCCTCGTGGAATTTAAACTTAGCTGGTCTACCGCTCGGCCATTTCATCGGTTTCTCAATGCAACGATCGGATTTTTCACCGGGACAAGAAGAGGCGTACGATCTTGAAGACAACGCGAGGACATTGCGCTTCTGTAACTGTAATTTGAACGGTCTCGAAGAACATTAATTATTTTTCCAAGAGAAGACGGATGAAATCCGTAAAATCTTATAACGTTGAAACTTACTTTCTTTTGGATAAAATCTGGCCTCGGGGACACAACAAGTCACTAAAAATTTGTCTATAGCAAAACCGTTTCAACATTTTTACATCTGAGCACGTATAATTTATAAGAAACTAAAAGTTGTGGATTATTTTGACGTACGTGTCATAGGATAGATTCGCAGTTATTTTGGAGTAATTCAATATATAGCTAATTTACCTGTATCCTGTAACTAATATGTTTGAATGATAAATCAACGTTCTGTTATATTCTCCATACAATACTGATCGAGAATCACGAATAACGGAAAGACACGTCGCGAGTTTCGAATTATTCATTTTATTTACGACCATTAAATTTCGCATAATATTGTGCGATACATTAGAATATTTCTTATACTTGCTATCACCATATTAGAGACTACATATAAATTGTTTATCGAATTGACACGGTAACAACTTCTGAAATATCTCTAGGAAGTAACTCGATAATGTGACACGTTGATGATGGAAGAGATTGTTTGATTATAATCCCAGTGCAAAGTTGCAGGGAAGTTCATCGCAACATTCGTTCCATCAACGGTAAATGTAATTCAATTTTCAATTTCAATCTTTTCCGAGATTGGTACAGAATCATACTTTGTGAATAGAAACAGTAACACGTTGACTGCCACGGTGAAAACAATTATGATTCATAAGATAACTGTCGAATGAGAGTGTTTAACAATGCAAATAACTGGATCATAGTGTAACCTAGTAATTGTGTACCAAATAATTGATAATTATTCCTTCTTAGTGTTGCTACAGAAGAATAAATGGTACATAAAACACTAAAGTTTTTCGCGGCAGTGAACGTGTTAAATGGGATACCCGCTTTTTCTATATTCTTGTAATGTACAATTCTTCTTTTGACTTTCGTGCATTCGATTATTTATTGTCATGAAGACCTGAACTTTTCAGCTCTTTGTCAAAGATGTACTCTCCCAGGCCTCCGGCAACTCTTTCCAAATTCGTTACGTGACAGGCGATTTCTTTGATCGAGTCTACTTGCTCTTGTAGGAACTCAGTCTCAAGGAAGTCCACCAAGTTCGGATCGTTGTGCGTCGACGCCAGCGCGTGTAAATCCAGAAGACTCTGAAAATTGTGGAAATATTTTCTGTAATAAATTTCATTCTTGAATTGCCGTTACGAAGATTGAGCACCGTTTATATAATACAACGGAGGAAAAATATAAAAATTGAAAAAAAAGTAGAATGGAGGAGCTGGGATTTGAACCCAGGACTTTCCGCATGCGAAGCGGACACTCTACCACTGAGTTACACCCCCGGTTGAAAGTAATTGTACTAAAATTGTACTTGAGATAATCGAATCGAATAACTAAAGTATTACATTTGCATCGATTAAATTGAAAATAAGCTGTAGATTAGTACTATTTCTTGGGAGAGTGTAATATATTTTAGTATTTACAGTTTAAATAATACTGTTAATAAATTCATACCGAAGAATATTACAACTACCTGGTCGCGACTGAAGTGACTTTCGTCTGATTGAAATAAACTAATTAATACTAAGAGAAAAATGTGTTCAATTTACGTTTTAAACATTTTTATTAATGATATATTTTTCTTGTAACTCTCGTATAACAATATGGATTTTAAAGTCACTTGTGACTTTGAAGTCACGCATCAATATACTGAGTTAAATTGATTCATTGCAAAATGACGACATTAAATAATTAATCAACTAACTTTTGTATACACAGGCGTTTACGTTAACGTTATTGCAACTTCAAAGTTACAAAATATATTCGGCCCATAGAGGGTTAAATAAATATTATTATTATTGAAATGTTCATCTGTTATTAACGCGTTTAAAATAAAATAATAACGACGACATATCTTATTAACGCAAATGAATTTCAAATAAAATAATAACGACGACATATCTTATTAACGCAGATAAATTTCAAATAAAATAACGACAGTAATTTTTATAATTTAAATACATGTTAACTGATACGAACCTGATTTACTTTCTTCTCAAGGTCCAGTGCTGCCATCATAGCCTCCTTAGCACTACCCCAATCGTTCTGCGGCGCGCCTACGATTTCTGTCAAAGAGATATTTCCGCCTCTCTTGTTTTGGTACGCCAAGAACTTCATGCCATGTTCTCTCTCCTCGTCGGAGCATCCTTTGAAATATACATGAAGTCCCGGTAACGCGACATCACTTCTATCAAAATAATAAGCCTGAAAGTAAACGACGTTAGCAGACGACAGTCTCACGTGGGACATCGTAGCAAAGCAAACACGTGACAAGTGCAAAACTATCAGGAGTTACAGCTTTTTCACAAGTGTTAATTTATCATAAATACAATGCAAAATCGAATAAAAATCTCATAACAGGAAACGTATAGAAAAAAACTCAACATTTTTTACAACGGGATTTTTATTACATTCATAACGTCAGTGAATAAACTATTATTCCATTTAGAATTAAGTATTAAAAAAATCTAGACTGAATTAGTGAAAATTTCTTAAGGCGTTGAACAATTTCATACAGCAAAATACACAAAATAGAAAAAATCTAATATTAAATCATTTAACTGAATATTATCATTGCACGTTAAACTGAATGTCACCGCAGTAATAGGATTATTTATAATATAGGAATGTTTACGAATCGTTTGAATGAATTACAATAATCCAATTTTCTTATGGGTCACCGGTAACCCATGGCATTCAACGTGTTAACACCAGATTTACAGAACGAGTCAATACGACTCAATTTTATATACACTATTTGGTTTTCTCGATTTTTTTTTATGCAATTATGCAAATGTATACCTTAATTATCTACTGTCAAACTTCTAAGATTTAAATAAACGAATATCAATTCTTCCAAGAACGATTGAACAGCCTACGCAGTAAACGTCAGTAAATCTAGCGTTAAGGACGGCGTCATTAAAAAGAAACTTAGCACAAACATCCATCGGACATAAACATTCATCATTCAGAAATGTTTTCACGAAATGGGCTGATATGTCACGTTAAAAATAGCCACTTTAATCAATATGTGGATTAACCATGGACAGGTAGACGTGACTCGCGTACAGTTCCAAATTGATTTGCTTGTTTAGCGCCGCCTCGCATTCCGCGTGGAAATTCTGTCTAACCAAACTCATGGCGGTCCTCGTTTAATATATCGGCTGCGATACAAGGAAACGTGCGTAAACAGATAAATGCAACGGGTTCGCGGGTAACACTGGTCTCAGGACGGCTTGCGACGCATATAAAAGGACCATGCGTTTGACTTGCGCTTTCAAAACATACTGCATCGATTATATACAGCCGGCACTGGATAAAGGCGCACGCAGGCGCACTGTGCCCTCTTAGTGAAAATGTGAGTCTAGAAACATGACCTTGAGTGTAAAAACAGAAGCGATAACTGCCGTACCTATAGAAGAAGATCTTTGCGAGTGTGATTTAATTAATCGTAATAGTTTCTTGTTAAAGTATTTATTATTGACGTTTATCGTCAGAGTGACTTCTGTCATTGTCTTGCTTTTATTGAGTGATTTACCTGTTTCTCTTTAACACCGCTACCAGCGCTTATTTCGGTGACGGTTTCTTCGATTCTATTTTCTTCGATCCAATGAATCTAAACGAAATATTAGAAAAAAAGGAAACTTATTGTTATTAGAAATTATAAACTACATTATAAGTTTCAGTTTCATTTTTTTTAATGAAAATTTTTAATAATTTTCAATTAATCCTATAGATATTGTTATTAGAAATTATAATCTACATTATATCTGATTAATTTCAGTTTCATTATGTAAAATATAGGGTTGCTGTTACAAATGTGTGACGTTCAATGAAGGTGTTAATGCTTTGAAATTTGACGTTTACTTGTATAGTGAGTCGTCGAAGAAGTTCGGCGCAATTTCAACTTTGTATTTCAGGAGTGTGGATATTTAAATTTGTGTTTACTGTGATTCTCTTTTTATTTATGTCTGTCTGGAGGGATTGGATGTGTTCTCAATGTTCCCGTTGTTTTCGCCAATGGAAGCTGTCACGTAACTCGTCATTCTGTGGACCAATCAGAAATGCAGCTGTGCGGTGGTCTGGGTTGGATGTGTTTCGGAACGCAAGTGGAACACCGGAAATGCAATATACATGAGAGGCGTCATAACGAATGCATAAGGAAGTTTTGTTTTTTTCATGTTTGTCGCGTCACGATTTGTCCTGCGTTTTGAATGTTTGAAAATTAACTTGTGGTTTGTATTTCATATTTTAATTAATACTTTAGTAATTTAAAGGGAACGGGTAAAATTAATGTCAGGGTAGTAGGTTATGTAAACTCTTATAATATCCATACATGTGCAGGTAATCCTCTATAATCATAATTATATATCCTATGTAAGTTAATTACACAATTTTATAGTAATTTTACACAATCTTAGGTTATAATAAACTATGTTCTATATAATGTCACCTTCGATATATGTAATTCGAATACTATAACTTTGCAAAAATTATTTAAATTAAATATATTTGTATATAACAGAAATTAATACTTACATTAATAAACACTTCATACTCCTCCATCATTCTATGGACAAACAAAATAGAAAATACAATGCATAATAAAATTGCATGAACACTTTGAAATTCGGTTGCCATTTATTAGAACATCAAACGATACAATAAATAATTGCAGATTAATCCTTAATTACCCGAGATATATCAGAAGTATATTTAGGATTCATACAATAAAAATTTATGTATCTGATTCCACTCATATTTGAATATTTCTACATGCTTAATGCTCCCACTTCAACCATCGTTAATAGAATATTATTTACACACAGTATAATATTTGTACATCAATTTATATAATGTAAACATTATATATTAGCTAAAACAATCATTATGAACAATCGAATCACAAACAAGATTTTTCAGGTACTACTTTCAGCTTGAAATCTTTTTTAAAAATGGCACTATCACTCGGTACTTAGTACACACATAGTACGTGATTAAATACACAACAGTGTCTCATCATCTATCTTAAATTATTCCGGAATACATCTTAAACAATAAATCTCTCATCGATCCTCCGATGAAAACGATCATTACCAACGAAGATCATTCCTCTAATTCGAATCTCTTCGCAACGGGCGGCCACGCAGAAACCGGGCTGCCGCGTCGATAAAGTCTCTTCGTAACCTATACAACAGCGATGCGTCAGTTTCAATGATTCAGTGGTCACACTCGACCGGGTCACAGGGTTTCACTGTTTCCTCGCCGTTCCGTGGAAGCCCCATCATAGCCGCTGTCACACGCACAAGAGTCTTATGTCTAATCTTGTGCAGTGGCCAGCAGCTGCACTGAGGTCCATTTTCCTTTTTCTCTCTTCTCCTCGAGTTCTCCGAACGATCTGCATCTCTTAATCCTCAAAATCTCATAACAATTAAAACAAACCACAAGGAACTACATAAACGACGAAGACTAAATAACTCCAATCAAAGGCTACACGATAAAAGAAAGACATCACGAAACATAGTGCCACTATGATCTAGGTCGGAAGTTTTCAAAGACCTCCGTCGAGGGCTAGCCGACGTAACTGCTTATGTGAAATATTTAATCCATTAGCATAGTTTCGAAAACTGGACTACGGAGTGGCCAACTATATACAAGCCGTCGCGAATAAATGACTGCGATACTACTCAATATCCGTGTTACGCGTTAAATACTTAATGAATCAATTGAACTCCCTCCAGAGGAGAGGGGGGGCGGCATTCGCGGAACGTTTCCTTGTTTCGAAAACGAGGAAGAAGGGAAAGCGAAGTTTTTTCGTGCAGATAACGCACCGCCGTTAGTCATGTGCAGATATGTTTTCAATGCGACTCCGTTGATATTTGAATCGTTATCTCCGCGTATTTACCGGCCACCGCGAAAACACAATACGATCCGCGCGTCTCATGTAAATGCACGGACGGTACGGCTCGTACAAAGATAATTTGTGGGGATCGCACATCTGGCGGTTCTATAGGCGTGCAGGATAGTTCTACTCGAATACAAAATTCATCGTCTTCGATCCCCCTACCGTGCGTTTCTACGATGAACTTACCGCCGTCCGCCCCAGGCCTAAGTTCTCGCGGCCGGAGTTGGCCGGGAGTTTCGTCGATCGCCAGGCCAGGACTCGATCGATTCTTCCGAAATGGCCTTTAGCTTCGAGCGACGGTGTCCTAATTCTTCAAATCCTTCCGCATCTTCGATCATCCCTCGGCTGAAGTCCTCATCCTCGTGGGACCATTTCGTTCCGCTCTTCGAGCAAACCGGTCTTCGACTTCCGGTGATTTCTAAACGTCGGTTGATCTTCATTGTCTTCTCTAATTGGTTCCTCTTGGATGTCCTTCGGTGATCATCGATGGACCTGCACAGCGTCTTAGGGGCGCACGTTTCCGTTTTCCACTCACAACCGCCGATCCTCTCGATTATGGGGAACGTGGGTGTTCGAATCGAAACGAATCAGCCTGTTCACTGAACAGCACGACGTGTCCGGTGTGTCTGCGAGCGGACGGGGGCAGGGCGGATGTGTCGGGCCGAATCTTTCCTGGTGAATCGCACTTTGATCGATGCTCCCCGTCGAACGGCTTCTGTCACTACGCGATCGAAGTCGGCGGTCGGAGGGTTTAATAAAAAATGATCGCACTTCTGTTCTGTGTTCCATGCACAACTGCCGATAGCTTCTTAGCTCACCCTTGGTTATATACCAGGACACCACGTGGTCATCTAATCCATCGGCCAATGAGGGGGTAGCTTTAGCGCCGGCCGGCCAATCGACGGTTACCTTTAAGGCCACAAGACACGTGTTTCTTGGGAAATAAGGGCACAGGCATTACGAACGAAATCGTATTTGCGTTACCGAAGTTGGACGATCGAATAGACCGTCGCATGGATTGCTTGCCTTAGCAGTTCTTCTAGGCCGGCGATGTTCACGCTTCGATGATGCCCGTTGTTGCGATCTGGAATCGATGGACCTCGCCCGTTCTGCGGATCCTCTGTCCGATCGTTTCTTCTTTGACGGCTGTAGCCTCTTTTTAACGCGTTCACTGTCATGGGAATTTTAGGCATTCTATAGAATATTCCTTATTCTTTTGTAACGATGACAAATCTTGTAACCCATTCACTGATAGCGTAAAATGTGTGATTTCATTTGTACTTTCAATTTATTTTGCTTTATAGTACGATGCATTTGAAATACAACCAAGATTGTACCAAACTGGCAATCTCCTGCTACGAGTATATTCGTGACTGGCAGTGAATGGGTTAATCTTGATTATCATCTATGATTTCTAGACGCTTTGGGATCGATGTGGTACGCTTTATTTTCGACGATCGTTAAGGGATGAATGTAGCTGGGTATTTAGATCTGTGGTTGGTCACCTAAATCTTTGTATCTACAATTTACAGATCTTCAGAAATGAAATAGAATTTCTTTGAGAAATTTACTTCTTAACGCTAGAATTACCAGCTGGATCAAAATGACCCTTTCCTGATTTCTTTCAGAATTATTCAAGGGGCACAGATACTTCAGAAATTATTGCAGAAACTGGTTTAGTAATACCTAAATTGATAAGCCGATTGAAATCTTAATAACTACACACATGTGGCTTCGCGAAGAAATTTTCAAAAGCTTCGACAAATGTTTCTCCGAGAAATTATTCGAGAAATCGATGTAGCAATGCACAGACTGAATCGTAAATCAATTAAAGTCTGAACAGATACACTCTTGAAGTTCCTATAGTGGAATTTCCAAAAGTCAATTTAAGTACTCGGTAGTTTCTGTGTTAACCCTTTGCACTCGAGAGGCGACTCCCAGGCGCGAGATGATTTGATACAGTGAAATAAACTTCTGTATTTACCATTTAACTTCGTATACTGCATCAATGCGTGAAATGTTGAAAGAAAATAGCTTTGTTCCCTAATTTATGCGTGAGTTCTCGATAAATTCATTTCAAAGAATCTCGTCTACATCTAATTGGAAAGTATTGAATATTTCAAGTGAAAAACTTCCGAGTGCAAAAATCAGTTATCGGTGCGGTCAGTACTTGGTCCCTCAATCTCGCGATCGTCGTTCGAGAGACTACATTTCAAATTCATTCTGTACAACAAAGAAAAATTCTTCAGTTGCCCGCGTTCCGGAAATCGAATTCCATCGTTTCCCGGATAACATAAAAGCCAGCGGTTCCATTATGTAACTTTACTTCACCCTGTGACCTGGCTGTTGCCGTCTGCCAGCGGTACAGTTGTTAGTGGTGGTGTTTAATGATATTGTG